AGAAGGGAGTTCCCCAGCCTGTAGGTCTGCTGCTGGTTCTTCCTCCCCAGGTGCAGCACCTTGCACTTGTCAGTGTTGAAACCCATCCTGTTCTCATCTGCCCACCCCTGTAACCTGTCTAGGTCCAACTGCAGCCTATTCCTCCCTTCTAGCATGCCCACATCCCCCCACATCTTAGTGTCGTCAGCAAATTTGAACAGGGTGCTTTTTACCCCCTCGTCCTAGTCACTGATGACAATGTTGAACAGCGCGGGTCCAAGGACCGAGCCCTGGGGGACCCCACTGCCCACATCCCTCCAGGTCGAAAATAACCCATCCACCACCACTCTCTAGGTGTGGCCCTCCAGCCAGTTAGCGACCCATTTGACTGTGTAGGTGTCGACGCCACAGTCCCCTAGTTTTTTAATGAGAACGGGGTGAGAGACAGTGTTGAAGGCCTTCCTGAAGTCCAGAAAGACTACGTCCACTGCTACCCCTGCATCTAAGGATGGATACCTTTCAGAATATTGTGTTAGGGGACCAGCTCCCTGGGCTCGATCTACTTTAGGGCTCCAGGGTCTGAACAAAATCCATGCACAGCCCCTGGCTGAATGCCCTTAGGCCTGCCCTTGCAGAGCTAATGTTATGTTTTAGAACAGAGGGAACCAACTTGTGGCTACCTGTGTGTGGCACATAGCAGACTGGAGAGGCAACAGGCAGCACAGTGGCATATAGGCCAGGGAGCAGAAAGCAGAGCAGCAGATTAAATAGGGAGCACAGGGCAGGGAGCAGAAAGCAGAGCAGGGAAGGAGGTTGGAGCAGCACTTGGGGAGCATGTGGGGCCTGCTACCCAGTTGCCTGGCTCTTGGGACTAGCACCAATCCCCTTAGGCCCCCCAGTAGTTTAAACACACCCTCTTCCAGGACACTAGTCATGTGGGTGCTCTTTCTTTAACTTTTAAAGAAACATGATACCTGTAATACAGAATACACACACACACAACTCCAAAGCACCATTTAATCTTTATATATTTAGCCTAATAAATACACAGCTCTAGACAAAATAAACCCACATATACACATTTCCCTGCCTCAAGTTTTCTCACCATTTTGGAGCATTCTTTGGGTTTAAGTCATTGTCCTATGTGGAATTAGGATCTTTGTCCTTCAGCTCATGGCTTTGCTTTAAAATCACAGAGGCTTTCCTTTCCTGATAAAAAACTGCATGTTTGAAAGTCTGTCTAACTTCATTCCAACAATACAGCTGCTCCACTAAAAGTTATCCCCCCCCCAAAAAAAATAAAATCCTGGCCTCTCACAGAGGCTTTTCCAGGTCAAAAGATTTGTCTGACTAAGGCTAGTCCCACAGTTAAGTTGGACCCCTCTTCTGCTATGAACATACACTTCACTTTCTCTTTCTTTCCTAAAAATTTAAAACCTTGTTTTATCACCTCTGTCCTTTTGGCCCATGTGAATGTTTTCACATTCTTCACTTCCCCATCTCTGCACAGGAGGAGTAAATACAGCTTCCCTTGGCTTCAGTCAACCTTCTTAGCAAACCCATTGCTCAATCAGAGTATCCATTAACCCTAGTCTAATGAGTATATGCTACACAGTCTTATCAGCAAAATATCAGCAGAAGTGAATTCCATTTACAAAGAGGCAGACCATAATACAACTTCATAACATCAACCAGAATTCATAAGTTGTACATAGACATATTGCTCAGATTGTCAATAAATTTATATTGACATCAATAGTACTTACTTTTACAATATTTGATGAAGTTTTTAAAACTTTCGAATTCTTATCTTCCATTGCGAAATGCTATATCTTGCTGATGGACATCTGGGTTTTTTGGGGGTTTTGTGTAACATTTTTGCTATGGCAAAAAGCTAACCTATTGTGACAGTAATCTCTGATATGAATTTCAGTTTGATAGCCCCCAGTCATCAGTAGGTGTAATGTAGATGTAATAATATATAAAGTCTGAATGGATACATAAGGAGAGGATAGTTGTAATGGATCTTGGGGGTGAGGATAAGAAACCTGTATTGATGTAGAGGCAGCATGGGAACTAATGGAGACATTTTAAAAGTGCAGTAGCACAGCTTCAGAATATCTTGTTTGATTGAATTTGCTTTTTGCCATAATATCTGTTCACAAGCCCAATATCCCAATGTTAAAAGAAAGAAATATTCTCTATTTCTGCAGTTACATAAACCTAGCAACCCACTACTGCCCACAAGACAATAAATGTATTGCATCCAGCAAAGACACTGCTGCAGGGATCTCCTACGTCTTTATTTCTGCTTCCTTTTATTTTATTATATTCTGAGAAAATATTCACTTCCAATTCTGCTTTTTTGTTTCACATCAGTTAATTTCATTCTCATTTCTGTTCACTCATTCTGATCTTTATTTTAGCCACACCACCTTCTCCAAGCTCCTCAACATATAAGGCTCTATCTCCTCTGTGTCTCAGGAACAACCTGATCAAATCTGCTCAGTGAGATCTTTCTAACTCTTCCTGTTTTTCTTTACTCATCTAGGACAGTGTGCAAAGCAGTGATGATTCCAGAAATCCCCCAGGTACCAGCAGTGATTTAAGTAATGATAATAAAGTAAGTTCTTTATTATTTATACAGACCTGTAGAAGTGCCTAGCACTTTCCAAACTGTCCTACCCAGAGCAGGATGTAGTAAGAGTAGATAGACAACTATAGAGATTAACATAATTGATCAGACTAATCATCATCTTGGCCAATGTTCTGCCTCGCAATGACCATTATCAGATGTTTCACAGAGGCACAAGAAACCATCGTTATTATTGATTAGTTTATTCCTAGAAGCACAAGGGCTTATAACTTGTCTAAACAATTGTTTTAAAGTTGTATTTGAAGTAACAGTATATGTTTAAACCTCTTTTGAATAGTACTAAGCTGTTAGTTTTAGCAATACCTGGGGGAAAAGCTTAGTAGAATGCAGGGAGAAGAGACATGACAACAGGAAAATGGTCTAGAAATGGAACGATGTGCTAACTTAAGGTCTTTCCATCAGGCACTTATTACTGTTAGACTGGTGCAGTCAGAAGAATTATTATTTATTTTTGGCAGTGCATTAGCACTGAGAGGTCCTGGACAGTAGAGTGACCCAATCGTGCTCAACAATGCAAACACACAGGGCTGGAACAGTGCGTGCTCAAAATCTAAAAATTCCTGGGCCAGATAAATTGAAAAAGAATGAGATACAACATACAGCGAAAGTACGGTGGCTCTACTTATACATATTAGCACTGATTTTTAACGATTTTTTCCCTGAGACAAAAAACAAAAAGACAGAAAGAGGAGACTAGTCTAACTAGTTAGATGACAAAGTGGGGGGGCAAAGTGGGCATTTAAGACGTCTGAGAAAAAGACTGAAGTAACCAAGAAGGAAGGTGAAGGTTTTGGCTGCCTTTACACATGCTTGGGGGGTAGGGGAGTAGGACAGAGGGAGGCATTTTGATTAGAGCAGTTCCCAGACAGCTGTTCTAATTAAAACACTTCACCATCGCATGTATTAAGCCCTTGCACATTTCAAAATGGCCATGGGGCATTTTATTTAAAGCTCATTCAACAAGGTTTAGATAAAGTGCTCCCACAGCCATTTTGAAATGTGCGGGGGCTAAATACATGCGATGGTGAGGTGACGCTGCAGCGTTCTAATTAGAACATGAATGAGCACATCTATAGGCACCCAATGATGAGGTTTAGTGGTGTGAGAAAAAAAAAAAGGCCCAATGGTTGGAGCTTCAAAATGTAAGAATGATGCTGCAACAGGATTTGGACAGAGAAAGAATGTGTAGGCCAAGGAGGAGAAAGGAGAAGATGACTCCCTTATAAGATGTGTGACAGGGAGCATACTAGTGCTATTAACAGTGACAGAGTGGCAGGAAACAGCATTAGTTCTTATTTTTTTCAGGGTAGTTGGCTACAAAGGATTGCTTTGAAAAGTTTTATATGATTCCAAAATATATAAGTTGATGGACAAATGTTTATTTGCAAAAGAGTAAATGAATTTCCAAACCACTTTGAATTAACATTATGTCTAGTCGCTACCTACATAACCTTTCATACTGATTCGACTAACTATCCCAGACAGGAATATACTGACTTTCAAAAGCAATTTCTATCACGATGTAATTGTTCTTATTAGACATTAAAAGCTACCTACTGATATCCTGTTTTATCTTAAAAAGTAAAACCTAAATTATTATTATTATTTATTAACTTTTCAATAGACCTGATAACATTCAATGTAAGCCTTCGTGTTACCAGAGGTCAGTAGTTCTTAGACTTTTTGTAGTCACACACCCCTTCTTAAATTAGTTAGGCTCCTATGCACTCTTATGATTCTGTATTATAGATGATTAATAAAAGGTAGTTTTTATGGTGTTATAGCATTTATATTTATATTTCCCCTTCACTCGTTTTTGTAGAAATTGCCACAGACACCCAGGAGTATGCATATGCCAGTCTGAGAATCACTGATGCAGCCCCAGCATTTTTATGCAACTCTCCTTCACTCGCATTGAATCAGACCCACCCATCTCAGCCCTACTTACAAATGACTTCTACTACTGTTTTCACTGCCCACAGCTTCTCTCTGAATCTGAAGGTAGAGTTCATGTGGAGATGCACGAGGACCACTGTGTCTTCATCATTGAAGGAGCAGAGAAGCAGGATGAGGGGGTTTACAGAGTTACAGTTAAGAATCCAGCAGGAGAAGATAAAGCTGATATCACTGTCAAGGTTATTGGTAAGTGAAGGAAGGGACTAACCAGATTCTGAGTTCTTGAGTTCAGTGGAAACTATCCTTGTTCCTCTAAAGTGGAGAGAGATTTTGGGCTTAGTGAGTTTTAAACAGACCATTAAAGGAGGACTGAGTTGTTTCATGACCCTTCACAGAGATCTCTCTCAGTATAACTTTCCTGGTCTTCCCACTATGAAGAGAAGGAATCATTCCTAGTTGCAGACATTAGGTTACTTGGGATATTCACCCATTCCATTCCCTTATATATCTTTGTATACATTGGGGTGTCAAATGTATAGTCTGCAGGCCAGATCTGGCCCCCAGAGATGCATTTTCTAGACTTCGGTGCTCAAAGAGTGGTCTGGATTAAGGGACAGAGCAAGCAAGGGGTGGACCTGCCACCAAAATCTAGGTACACAGCCCCGTTTGGGACATGTATCAGTGGTGGTGGTGAGGGTGAGTAGTCATTGCATAAACCTCCACAATGGTTGCCACCATTTGCCATACTGCATCCTGATATCACCCACAAGGAGAGGTGAGTTTGACACATGTGGTATATATGGGTCAGTCCATTCCCAATAGACCTTTCTCTGGAGCACTGATCTTGTCTAGCACATGATATTTTTGTCATTTTGTAAGAAAGAAGACTTTACCGCATGTCTTATAAATAGTTAATGGAATAAGGGGCTATCTATTGTATGTCTGGCATGCTGTATTAAAAAGGGCTGAAAATATTTAGTTTACAGAGGACAAGAGCTAGAGGGGAATTTGATTTTGATCTAATATTATGAAAGGTGTAAAATTAATCAGCTCCTTCTTTATACCCAGCAAGAGACATTATGAAAAAAAGAGGTCAAACTGTACTTATAAACAATGAACGGAAATATTTTTACATATCTTTGTAGTTTATTGCTGTATGAGATCACCAAGATGAATACTAAGTTAGGATTTACAGAATAACTGGATTTACCATTTGTATTTAAACAAGAAAAGTTAACATACATGTTGGTATTGCATTACATGTGGGGTTTTCCAGGCTAGGGGGAAGCTTTGAAGTGAGATCTAAGTTACAGTAATGAGAGCAAATCACTAAAAAGAGCTATTGTCACCTATCTCTTTTTGCTGGTAGACTGGGCCAGAAGCTATGTTGCCTTCTACTGCGTTTTCCAAATTATAAGAAGGAGTTATGGAGGTAGAAGACACAGAAAATATGAACAATGATAGATTTTCCTATTTCCCAACACGTACAGTTTAGGCAACACCCTCTTTGTTTTCTCTCTGCAACAGCTCCCTCTGGCGTCAAATTATGGAAAAGCAATGTTGCATCTCAATGCTTTTATTCTGCAAGCCAAAAAAAGTCATAATTTAGTTAATGGAATCATGTATATCGCTTAGATTACCAGCTATATGGCAGTCTGTAAAAGATTGTTCATTTCACTTAGATATGTCTGTGCATAGAATAAAAGATATCAGGACTCGTGGTAGAGGTGATATCTTTTATTAGAACAACTAGATTTTTGTAAAAAAAAATCTTTAATTGCAAGCTTTGGGGCACGAATATCCTTCATCAGGCATGAGAGAACAGATTGTAAAAATTCTCCTGGGTAGAAATGAAAGTTTATATTTCAGAGGAGAGTTGAAGGTGTGGTAAAATCTCCTGTTTAAAAAAATTCATTTTATATACAGATTAGGTTCAGAGAAAAGTCGGAATAGTCTGTTTACCTCAAAGTTGCTTGGTGATAAGTAGGATGTATTCATATTCGTATCTATGCAGCACTAGTGAGGCCATATCTGCAGTCCTGTGTCCAGTTTTGGGCCCCCACTACAGAAAGGATGTGGACAAATTGGAGAAAGTCCAATGGAGGGCAAAAAAAACAGTTAGGGGGCTGGGGCACATGACTTAGGAGGAGAAGCTGAGGGAGCTGAGCTTGTTTAATGTGGAAAAGAAAAGACTAAGAGGGAATTTAACAGCAGCCTTTGACTACATGAAAAGTGGTCAAAAGAGGATGGAACCAGACTGTTCTCAGCGGTGGCACATGACAGAACAAGGAGCAGTGGTCTCAAGTTGCAGCAAGGGAAATTTAGGTTGGATATTAGGAAGAACTTTCTCACCGGGAGGTTAGTAAAACAGTGAAATAGGTTAGTCAGAGGGGTGGTGGACTCTCCATCCTTGGAGGTTTTTAAGACCCAGGTAGACAAAGCCTTGGCTGGGATGATCTAGTAGGGGCTGGTCCTGCTTTGAGCAGGGTGTTGGGCTAGATGACCTCTTGAGGTCCCTTCCAACCCAATTTTTTTTCTATGATTTCCTTCTGGTCATGAACAACTGGTGCCTCCTGAGACTTGGGGGGTACCATGGTGGTGAGTGGCAAGCAGGGACTACCCGCAGCCGCCACTGTTGGTGTCAGCAAGCAGTGAACAGGGACTGCCCTCAGCCGCCGGCAGCAGTGTCGGTGGTGAGGAGGGGTGGTGAGTGGAGACTGCCCACAGCCACCGCTGGCAGTTTTAGCGGTGGGCAATCTGAGCGGGGCATGTGCCCCGCCATGTTCTCCCTACATGCTTATGCTTATGCTTCTGGTTAGGGTGTTTCATATTTCACAGAGGAGTAGAGAGATGGAATGCTCTTCTGGGCAGGCATTTCTTATGTGGGGTAAGGTGTCTCTGAGCTCTGTGCTGAGGCTCTGTGATGATGCAAATTACCTCAATCAAAGGCAGGAGCAGGGTCTGAGGTTTCAGGTGGTCAAAGTTGCTTCCTCTTTATAAAATTATGAAGATTTTATTTAAAAAAAAAATCAGATGTGAGCAATCAGATGCTTTAAAGACATGGTGCTCAACCTTTTGGCTCTGTGGGCCACAAGAGTGACACAGAGCTAGTCTGAAGGCCAGATTGGGCCCTGGAGCCTCAGTATAATGCCCTCCTTGCCCTGTGCACCTGTATTGGGTCCCAGGAGCGCAGCACCATTTCCCTGCCCTCCCCTTCCTCCCAAGCCTGCACACTAGCAGGATTGGATCCTAGGGGCCTGGCTCCATCCCTTCCTGCCTCCCACACTGGGATTGGGCCCTGGGGCCTGGCTTCGCCCTCACCTGGCCCTGTGCACTGGGCCTGGGGCTCCCCATGGGTCAGGAAATTTGGCAGCGGGGGAGTGGTGGCATCACTCCTCCACCACCAGATTTCCAGACCTGTGGAGAGCCTCATGGGCCAGACAACAAAGCACTGTTGATCAGATGTGACCCACAGGTTGGGCTTGAGCACCCCCGCTTTAAAGTAAAAGCAATTTAACCTGGAAGCAAAGAATAGGGCTCACACTGGACAGAGATAATAGGTTTTATACTGTATTTACTGTTTAAAAGCTACACATATGTAACTGCCCATTCAAATAATACAGAATTATTTGAATGATGGCATAGGTATTCCTCAATACTTTCAGTGCGACTGTTAAGAGATCCTTTACAAATCTGTGATGTGGAAAGGGGCTTAGCAGAAATATTTAACCACATAAGGATGGCAAGGGACATAGTCATGAAACTTCCTCTCTTCCATACAATCTTCAGATGTTCCTGATCCTCCAGAGGCTCCCAAGATCCTCAACATTGGAGAGGATTACTGTTCTGTGGAGTGGCAACCCCCTAGTTTTGATGGAGGGCAACCAATACTAGGTAAGCATTACTGGAAAAGACTTCCAGCAGCCTCACCCAAGTCATTTACAATGCTCACTGACTTTTCTAAACCTGGGAGGTCTAGTTAGCTACATTAGTCTGAAGTCAGGTAGAAGGCAAGGTAGATGTGTACCTTACAGACTAACCAAAGGAGATACATATAACAAGCTTTCATGAGCTGTAGCTCACTTCATCTAAACCCATCCAGATTCTGACCTTAATCAAAGTGACCTCTCCCTGCTCCACCTAAAGCTGGGACACAGTTCACAAAAGCTGTTAAGTCTGTCCTTGGAAAAGAGTACCAGGAGGAATTATTAAGTGTCAAGACAAAACAACCAGTACAAGAAACAGCTAAGGTTCAACATTCCCATTCCAAACTAAAATATTGCAGCATGTACAGAGACCTGGACATGCTGAGAGAGTAAAGTTTGTATTAGATACTGAACTTGGTGCTTCATTTACCTACACAAAAGAAGCAGAATCTATTGAATTCAGTGGGGATTATACTTTTCTTGTACCAAGCAGAAATAAATGGGCCACTAAAGTGCCAAATGACACCACCAAGGATTTAACAGATCTGAAGAGATATACCAATATCTGCCCTATGGCTGCAAATGAAACATTCCCAGAAATTTAATTAGGTCAAACCAGTTTTTCTGCTGTAGGGAA